GAACGAAGCACATCGCTTTGCGTTACTTCCTGGCTCGAGAGCTGCAGCAGCGTGGTCAGCTTCGTCTTGCACACGTGGCCACTAGGGCCAACACTGCTGATATATTCACCAAGGCACTTCCGTTTGGTGATCATCAGCGCTTTTGTACTTTGTTAGGCCTTGTGCCTACGTTTCCACACTTGCTGTAGTCTTTTGTGTGTACTGTGTTCTATATTTATACCTGCATGCTTGCTCTTGCTAGGTATTGATCACTGTACTGCTCTTGTTGCTTATATATATCTCTGCATGTGGACTGGCCTTGCGGCCCTTTGCTTGTGCTCAGAATGTGTGGTGACGTTGAGATCCACCCTGAGCTTGCTTTGCGTCTCTTGACTGGTCGTGTGACCCCTTGTTCTCCCCCACTTTGCCTATGGGGGTGTGTCAAACATGTATGCTGCATATTGTCTAGGCTGTAGTGGGGTAGCCCATATGGGGTACAACCAAATTAGGGTTTCCTACTTGTACTCCTGCATGCTGTTAGTTCATCATTCCTGCTGCCAGATTCTAACACTCCGTTGTTCCTCCCTATTTCGTGGCCCCATCCCGTGTGTGCTTGCACATGGTGCGGGGTTGTTCAACTGTGGATGAATGGTTGGGTGGTATCGTGGGTGGCTGGGGTGCCACTTGGCTGGGAGTCATGCCACGGGGGTGGGGGTCCGCTGGTGTTGGATGAAATTCGGTCGGGCGGTGATTGGTGTGGGTGCAGGGACGGACTGCATGTGTGACAGAATGGCACGGATGTGAAACCGGACATGAGCATAGTGTTTTCAGACCTGGAACCTATGAATGAGCAACACCTGAGACTCTCAACTTGTGAAACTTGAAGCATCTGCATCTGCTCTCCATGCGCCACCATCATCCCAGTGGCTCTATGGTCTGAGACCCTGATAGGCTCCTGATAAACTACTGATGGGCTCCTGATACACTCCTGATGGGCCCCTGATGGGCTCCTGATGGGCTCCGAAGCAACGCTGCCTTCAGCTCTGCTCTCAAAGTCTACATGCAACGGAATGATTGGAATTAGGGTTTGCAAGCATACAAATAGGAGTCCTACAAATGTTGTACCCTTTAGGGAGTGCCTCACTGCAGCCTATCATAACATTAACATTTGACACACCCCCATAGGCTAAGTGAGGGACACCAGGGCAAGCAAGGTGAAAACAAACGGTCACAAGACCAGTCAAGGCAAGACAAGCTCAGGGTGGAGCTCAAGGACACCACACAAATTCCGAGCACAAGCAAGTGGCCACAAGGCCAGTTCAACAGTTCACTAGGATATAAATATGAAAACACAACAAGCAGAGCAAGCAACAAGACTACAGCAACCGGGGGCCTACCTCAACAAGCCCCAACTGCACACAGAACCTGTGGTGATCACCAGGCGCCAAGGCCTTGGTGAAGACGTCTGCAGTGTTGGCCTCTGAGGCCACAAAGTCCAGGCGTGCCTGGCCGCGTCGCTGCAGCTCTCGCAGGAGGAAGTACCTCACGTCAATATGCTTTACTCTGCTCTCCAGTCGCGGCTCTCGACACAGGAGGATCATGGCCTTGTTGTCAGCATACAAGGTCGGTGCAGAACGAGGCCGCTCACCAAGGTCGGTGAGCAAGAAGGTCAACCAACGAAGCTCCTGTGCCGCCATGGCACCAGCGTAGATCTCTGCCTCTGCACTGGAAGTAGCCACAGACGACGACCGAGTAGACCTCCACGACACAGCACCAGCTCCCAGACTGAAGCAGTAACCCTGAGTCGAACGCTGAGTCTCCACGTCGTCAGCGTAGGAAGAGTCGCAGTGCCCAGTCAACGCCACTGGCTGAGTCCCTCCAAGCACAAGCCCCATGCCTGATGTAGTCGCCAGGTACTTCGCCACCCTCACAGCAGCTGTCCAGTGGACAGGACGGTGTCTCCCAGTCGCAACAAAGCGAGAGAGGACGCTGAGAGGAAAGGCGAGGTCCGGCCGAGTACAAGTCATCAGGTACATGAGGCAGCCCACCAGCTCTGCGTAGGGACCACTGGACTCAAAAGGCTCGTCGGGAAAGGGGCCAGTGAGTCTGTGGTCAACAGCAAGAGGAGTGGGCTGTGTGGTGGAGAACTGGAAGTCGAACCGCCGAAGGACCTGCTGCACCATGTGTGACTGCGTCAGTGTGATGGTGCGAGCGGCTCTGTCCCGGGTGATCTGCAAGCCAAGGTAACGCTGCAGCTCACCCAGGTCAGTGCACTTGTGTCTCTTCTGCAGTTCGAACTTCACCTGAGCCAGGGCTGCCCTGTCTGCTGTAGCAAACACCAAGTCGTCGACGTAGACAAGGATAAAGAAAGGAGTAGAACCCGCTCGAACAAACAGCGACGGGTCGGCGGAGGACGGGCTGAACCCAAGGTCACGAAGCGTGGAGCGAAGAGTGTCGTGCCACTCACGGGGCGACTGGCGGAGACCGTAGACTGGTCGCCTCAGGCTCCACTGGGTCCCTGGTGGGAAGGTGTCAGTGAAACCAGGAGGACGGCGCAGCCAGATCTCCTCGTGCAGTCGGCCCTGGAGGAACGCAGTGGAGAAGTCGAGGGAGTGCAGCTCGTAGTCTCGCTGCGCTGCTATGTGGAGTAACACCCGAAGAGTAGTCATCTTCGGGGTCGGGGCGAAGGTCTGGAAGAAGTCAACTCCCTCACGCTGACTGAAGCCCCTAGCCACGTAGCGCGCCTTGAACACCGGCGGTGCTCCAGGCGGCCGCTTCACCTTGAAGAGCCACATGCCATCGACTACGTTCGCCCTGGGAGGGGGAACTGCGTCGACGTAGGTGCCTGTGGATCTCCAAGACGCCAACTCTGAGTCCATAGCCGCTTTCCACTGAGAGGCCCACGCCCCTGACACTGCCTCGCGGTAAGTGCGAGGAGTCGGTATGTCAAGGGCGTCGGGGTCTCCCTCAGGGGAGAGCAGCATGGCACACACAGAGGGAGAAGCGGCTGCCCAGTACTCCAGCTCAGACTCTCTGTCCTCTAGGACGTCACAGCCAAGGGCAAACTCACCCCCGACGGACAGAGGACGGTAGGGAGGAGCTGGCACCACACGGGTGGCGTAGTCAAGGCGGCTGGCGGCAGCAAACTCAGCGACAGCGGCAGTGAGAGCAGAGACCGACGACGGAGGGAAACGAGAGTCGGTGACAAGAGTGGCGAGGACACGTGCGGCAACAGGACGAACAGCGCGGTAGTAGTCGGTGATAGGAGTGGGGAGGGAAGGGAGAGAGGACGGAGGAGGAGACGGGAGAACGGACTCAGGAGAAGGAGAACGACGACGAGACGAACAAAGGAGGGCAGTGTGGAGGTCAGTAACAGGGGACGAGTGACGAGCACGCGGCGAACAACGGGTGACCAAGTCGCGACGGACAGAAGGAGGAGGAGACTGTGGAGGAGGAGAAGACCAGACCGCCGGACGGTCGTCAGGAGGAGGCAACGGAGAAACAAACACAGGAAATGGCGCGTGCCGAGAGCTTGTCCGCAGAGGTGTCGCGGACCTGCGCAAGGCAGCCCCAGACTCGAAAGGCCGACCCGACACCAGGGGAACCAGTCCAAAGACTGGTCGGTGAAGCCTCGGGCCGCGAGACACGCGGCTGGAGGTTCAGCTGGTGTGCGGCGTAGCGAACCGCGTGGGGCCACAGAAAATGGGGCGCACGGGCATGGATCATGGACGTGCGGGCGATGTCCATGACCAAGCCTATGCGGCGCTCAGCAACCCCATTTTGCTGTGGGGACTCTGGCAGAGTCCAGGACTGGGTGATGCCCTGTTCGCCGCAGAATCCGCCGAGAATGCCGGAGCGAAACTCGCCCCCACGGTCGGAGTGGAGACAACTGACTCGACGACCACGAGTGCCCTCAGTGGCTAGAAGCCACCTGATCAGCGTAGCAGTCACCTCGGACTTCTTCGCAAGAGGGAACACTGTGGTGTACCTGGAGAAGTCGTCGACGACCACCAGAAAGTAACGCTCCCTCCCAGACCCCTGCGTCGGGGCAGGGCCCCAGACGTCCAAGTGGAGAGTCTCGAAGGGAGCGGTGGCCGGACGAAGGGAGGAGGAGTGGGGAGTGGCGCGTAAGCGACCGGCGACGCACGGAGAGCAAGGAGGGGCAAGCGAGAGAGGGAGCGACGGGAAGGTGCGTGGGAGACCTGTGACTAGTCCGTGACTGAGCATGCCACGAAGGCGAGGGATCGACGGGTGGCCAAGACGGTGGTGCCACAGAACGGTGCGGTGGGCGAGAGAGCGACAGGAGCAAGACGCAGCGACTGGACTGGACACAGCGACCGGACTGGACACGACTACCTGGCTAGACACAGCCACTGGACTGGGGACCTGGGTCGGAGGGGACGCAACAACCGGAGGGGAGGACGCGACCGGGGAGCGCTCGGTGTGGAGAACGTAGAGACCGGAGCGGGGCTCCCTGGTGAACGTGGCCAGAACAGCACCTGTGGTAGCGTCAGTACAGACTGCAGTCCGCCCACCCCCCAAGAAGGTAACCGTGATCCCCCTGTCCTGAAGGTATCCAACACCCACCAAGTTCCGAGTGAACGAGGGGATGTGGAGGCCACGCAGGACACCAGAGGGGACCACAGGGCACGGGAGGGTGGTGGAGCTACGCGCAACGGCTGGTCCAGAGGTAGGATCAGCCAGAGCCACCGACACAGGTGTGAGGAGAGGCGTAAGGGTCGTGCGGTCGCGGAAGAAACACTGAGACGCGCCCGAGTCCAGCGTGAACGAAAGAGAGGCCTCAGCCGGTGGGTCACTCGACCCAGTCGCTACACAAGCACCTAGAGCAGCAACACAAGCACCTAATCTAGACAGGCACAAGGCTACACTAGCAGGAGGCAAGCAGTCTAACCTACGAACACGCGAGCACACAGATCCATCAGCACTAGAGTCAGCATCAACATACAAAGCATATTGACGCGCATCGTCCATGGACAAAGCAAATACATCAATCTTACGGGCTAACAGACGAGACCAGCGAGGCGTGCTCGCCAAAGGGCCCCAACGAGCCCGGTAGAGGTCGTCGAGGCGGCGGAAGCACCGCGCGGCAGAGTGGTCGTCGCGACCACAGAGACAGGGGCTACCCGGCCCGGTGACGCACCAGTGAGTGCACGGGCCAGCGTCACGGCGAGGGGGGCGAGGGGCCCAGCTGGAAGTACTGCTGCTGCGGCTGGTGCTCCCAGGGCCTCCCGGACCCCACTGCGGCGGGGGACCCCAGTGCTGCTGCGGACCCCACTGCAGCGGGGGCCCCCACTGCTGGAACTGCTGCGGTGCCTGCTGCTGCTGCTGTCCCTGCTGCTGCTGCTGTCCCTGCTGCGGGTGGTGCTGCTGTGGCTGCTGCTGCTGTGGGGGAACGCCCCCACCGGTCGGGCCTCCACCTGTGGGTGGGCCTGTCTGTCCAGCACCTCCTCCAGGGCCCCCTCCCCCTGGTGCACCACCGCCGCCGCCTCCGCCGCCTCCGCCACCACCGCCGCTCCCACCTCCACCGCCACCTCCACCGCCGCCTCCACCGCCCCCACCTCCCCCCTTTCCGCCCTTCTTGCCACTCTTGCCCCGTTTCTGCCAGTCTGCGGCAGAAACGGCAGCGGTGTCCTCAGAAACCGACACAGCAGCAGAAGCGCGGGTAGCAGTGAAAGTGGGAAGCTGAGGGGCGGCACACCCCGCAAAGAGACGGGGGGCCACCGCATCAGTGGCGGAGGCAACGGTGAGGAGGCTGCTCTCGATGGTCCCGAGAGCAGTCTGAAGGAGGTCTATAGTGAGCTCAGTGGGGTGCTTCTGAAGAAGCGCGTCGCGGGCAGTGGCAAGGCGGTCAGGGAGGCGGGTGACTAACCAGTGTACAGTGAGCCACATGGGGGGGGGGAGCAACAAGGAGCTGTGCGTCGGTACAGGCAGCACGAAAACCGGCGTCAAGCGAGCGGAGGTGAGTCACTAGGTCGGAAACAGTGGCAAACGAGCCTAGGTCGGGAAACACAAACGGCATGAGGAGGCGACTGAGGGAGGCGGAGGAGGGGGTGGAGTAGCGGGCAACAATAGCATCCCACACCCCCTTGGCTGTCTCCACCTGGTCAAAGTGGGCGGCCTCAGTCGGGGGGGAAAGCTCCGACAGTGTGAGAGCGGCGGCAGCGTCACGCGAGAGCCACACGTCCCTGGCCAGGACCCGACGGTCGTACTCCGCCTGGGCCGTAGGGGTCGGCTCCGGGGTGGTCGGCAGGGCGGCGGGGGACGGGGGGGCCTGTAGGGCACCAGACGCGTGAGCCCACAGAGTGGCGCCGTCCTGTCGCTGGCTGGTGAGGAAGCGTGTGGTCTGGCGCTGCCAGGTACCGAACTCGATTGGGCGTCCCTCCGCATCGAAACGGAGGCGACGTGCCTCCTTAGCGGAGCCCATGCTAGAGGCGGCTGGAGCACGGCGGAGGCGGAGCTAAGAACGAGGAGGAGGAGGACATAGACTAGGCGTGAAATCGTGGATCGCCAGCTACAGGTGCGAGGAGCGAGGTATGAGTGGCTAAAACGGCTCTAACCTAGGTGACCGGCGAGGGAGAGCGGCTGCCAGCCGCTGAGGGATAGTCCAGTGTCATCAGATTTGGGGAGGGCCTCGCGCACAAGGCGGCGGTGGGGCTAAGGTGATGAACAGTGAGAGAGGGGAGGGGAGGGCGGTTTTGACGGTGGGAATGGGCGGGAGGGCGGTTTCGACGGTGGGGATGGGCGGGGGCCAGGGCGTACGGGCTAGGCGCGGGCCTGGGCGACGGGCTACGCGCGGGCCTGGGCGACGGGCTAGGCGCGGGCCTGGGCGACGGGCTAGGCGCGGGCCTGGGCGACGGGCTACGCGCGGGCCTGGGCGACGGGCTACGCGCGGGCCTGGGCGACGGGCTAGGCGCGGGCCTGGGCGACGGGCTACGCGCGGGCCTGGGCGACGGTTGACGCGACGGGCAGGGGGAAGGGAGGCGACGCGACGGGCAGGGGGACGGGAGGTAACGCGACGGGGAGGGGAAGGGGAGGGCACGGAGGGGGGGTTACTAAGGGGCGCGACGTGCGGCGGGCTGAGGGCCGCGCTAAGGCGCGAGAGGGCGCTAGGAGCGCGGAGAGCGCGGAGGGCGCTAGGCGTGACGGAGGGCGCGGAGGGCGCTAGGCGCTACGGAGGGCGCTAGGCGCTACGGAGGGCGCGGAGGGCGCTAGGCGTGACGGAGGATCGATACCTACTCGTGATACCATCTCAAAGTCTACATGCAACGGAATGATTGGAATTAGGGTTTGCAAGCATACAAATAGGAGTCCTACAAATGTTGTACCCTTTAGGGAGTGCCTCACTGCAGCCTATCATAACATTAACATTTGACATCTTCGTATGCATCACTTGGGCCGCCTCTGTATGCGTGGGCTGCCTCTGTATGCTTGGGCTGCCTGTGTGTGCGTCATCCGGCATGGCGATGGTGCCTAAGGATTCTTGCACGCTCTCAGCGTATACATCACTTGGGCTGCCTGATGGCCTCCAACTGGAGGTTTGCCTTTTCATCCGGTGGGCCTGGTCCTATGCTCTTGCGTGCAATATGAGATCCTAATGGGTGGGATTGGATTGTGCAGTATTTCTTTTCAGGATTAGTTTCCAGAATAGGGTTGCATGGGACATTCACGACACACATGTAACAGATACTAATTATGAACAACAGCTGTGACAAACACCAAGTGATGGTTGTAATGTGCCAAAGCTGAAGTCAATACACATACGGTAGTATTCTTGCCCTTTTTGGTAAACACAAATCATAGTGGGCAAACTAGATGGTACAAGGGACGAGTGCAGCTGACAGGTTGACAGGCTTGAGAAAGTCACAGGAGCATGGAGGACCCTCTCAAGATATCCACCAGCTCAGCACTTATACAGACCCTCCTCCGTGCATGACGTACCAAGGTTATTCACAAGTTCCCCTTCTCGGAACGCCACCAGATTGAGGGTACCGGTACAGTCGTCGGGGAGCACGCGGGGGAATTTGTGGACGTCCACCTCGTAGAACGTTATTGATCCTGGCTGGAAACGGAACTGCATTTCCTTCTGAAACCTATTTGCGACATTCCCAAAAACTGGACCAAATGTTTGGCGCTTCCATGTGTGGGTACTGTCGAAAAGGGCGACCACGATCAGACCCGAACCAGAAAGTACGCGCGACTGCCATTCATCCTCGGTCAGCGGAGTGACGAATTCTGACTTAGCGAACGCCATCAAAATCAGTCAACTAAGACGTGAAAGGGACGAGGGCGAAAAGCCTTCCGAGAAATCCTATGTGCCTCTTGTCTGACTGACTCCGATGTGCCTCTTGTATGAATGGCTGTGAAGTACAGACTTGCGCAGTTCTTGTGAAGTACAGTCTTTACTAGAGAAAGAACGAGGGGGGGGGGAGGCATTCTATCTTCCATTTGGTTGGGCAATCTTGACCGCTGCTCGAATCGGGTTACCCAATCCAGATTGACACGCTGCCACGTTGTGATTGATCCGACAGCCTTAGACGAGCCTAGCCTTATCGTTTCCAAGGCGATCCCTCCGACCCATCTTGACAGCAATCCAGCGACGGCACACCAACCCATCCGTTCTCAACCACTCTTCCATTTCAATGCGAATGCAGGGTAAAGTCTATGAGGGACAACAGCAACAGCATGATCGCGACTCTAGACTCGACGCGAGTGTCTGCTCGAACCTATCCATGCTCATGGCTGACGAATGGAAGAGTGTGGGTCTGGCTGGGGCAATTCCAGCCACAGACACAAGTTTCGATGCTGGGTTGTGTTTCGTGTTCCCCTTGTTTCCCCTTTTCGCTAGAGCGAAAGAATTTCGCGCATTCCTGAAAACTCCAGAACATGCTTCACCATTGGCTAAACCCGCCGCACCTATTGGGCATTTCTGGTTTAATGTACTGTACAATCACTAAACGGCTTCTTTACTATTGAATCGCTCTAGACTTCAGAGGCACATCTCATCCTGATAGCACATGCGTACATTTCACAAGGCATTTTGTGAGAGAAGTGCGACGACACGCAGCATCCTATCATGCGAGGTGCTCCTCAACCCACATTTGGATGAGATGCTCGGGGGCTGCAACCCCAGCGAAGGTATGGACAGCAGTCCCGTTTTTGAAAAAAATAATCGACGGCGTAGTATGTGCACCGTGGTTCTGGCCCAAATAGGGATACTCATCGGCGTCCCCCACGTAGAATGCGATCGCTTCGCGTTGATGTTGGTGGCCCCTCGCGACGTTATTAATACTCTGACTAAGTGCTTCGGATTGCTGGCAACCGTTCCTCAAAAAGCACACCACGTTTAATTGCGGAGCCTGCAGAACGCGCTCCTCGAAATTGCCGTCCGTCACGAGATTCACGAACCCAGACGCGGCGAAAGCCATCACTGTAACTAGGATGACGAAATGTGAAAGCAGAAAAGCGCGTGCAAAACCCCACAGACGCACACCACGGGCTGTTGGTGTGGATGTCTACGCACAGACTACTAGGAGCAGAGCAGCGATAGGACAAATGTGAGAGGGGAAACCTCTCGTATGTCGACGATGCGGTTCTGCTCAATACCTGCTCGGTTATTGAGCTGCTTTGTCTAACACGGTAATTCTGCTGAGCGCAAGGATCACTAATTCGGCCATTTGACGAAGAGAAAGAGGGCTTGCGCTGGGCAGCGAAAGTTGACAGCAAAACTGGTCCACTGCTGCCACGGTTAGGCAGCATTGGGAAATGATCAGATTGGGGCCCCGAAGCTCTAGGAAGAGTGCCAAACTGGGGCCTCGTGTATCGCAACGTGTCGAACCTGGTCCGGACCTGTTTATAACCAATTTCGGGCCTCACTAACGCGCTCTGTCAGACCTGACCACACAAGGTGACGGATTTCTGAACGGACAAGCTGGCAAAAATTATAAACCCCGAACGGGCATGCATTCGGTCAGGGAGGCATCAACCCTAAACACCTTGTCGCATGTGTTTAGGGTTTATGTCTCCTTAATTTTATGCCTTCCGATTGGGTTTTATATTTTTTTCACACTGCGATAATATTTTTGGGGTAAAATGTTAAAATTTTGGGTTATTTCGCTGAAGTATCTGTACTGCCCATTGTGAGTGGGCTGACGATCGCTCCTCCCGTCAACCAGGGTGCTAGCGAAATCCGTCAAACCCAAGCCAGCAGGTGGTGACCTGGCGAGCTCGGCCTAGCTGCCTAGGCTTGTGAATTGCTTCGACCCTATTTCGTAGGTTCGCGAATCACGAGGCCCCAAGTTGGCACTCTTTCTGCTAACCCGAGGCCCCAGTCTGATCAATTCCCGGCAGCATTTCCTTGCCCACGCGTCGGATGCCCGCGAGGCTCTCTTGTCGGCAAAATGTCAAGACGCCACGTTGGTGTACGGAACTCCCGTTAGTGAATTTCATGCTGGTCCTTGTGGATCTGATATGAGTTGGTTAAATGAAAAAAAAGTCTTAGAAAAATAAGTTCAAAAAAAAACTTCGTAATCAATGCCCGTCCAAGTTCCAACCTCTCTTTCCCCCAGAGTTGAGACGCGCACGTGGTACGACATGGCAGCATGCTGGTGATATGAGGTGATTCAGCCCCTGAATGCATAGCACCAACTTCCACTCAGGGCACTAACCCTCCAGCGCATGTGCTTCCCACATGGGACAGTCAGCTTGGCACGAAACTATCGCATCGGAGAGATGCTGGCAGACAGGGGAAGGGAGAGCAGCAGGCGAGGAGGAGAACAAGTCAGGGAGCAGCAACAAGTACAGCAGAGAGCGGAGCACCAGCATAGCCATAGAGCATGGAATGAGTGGGGGGGTTGACTTGCAGTGGCAACGTGTTGCCAGCTGAGTGAGGCTGACCGGGCAGAGGGGAGATTGAAAGCAGCAGCATCTTAACCAGGGATCACCTCGGCACCAGCAGCAGACGACAAACGGTATGAGCTCTGTCAAGATAAGAACGTGCGGGTTTAGGTAGGGCCTAGGCTTAGGAGCCTAGGCCCAAGGGCGTCGAGAGGGTTGTGCCAAGAAGATTACGAGAATGGAATATGTTCACTATAGCAGAGAGAGTACATATAGGAAGGAGGAGGTGGCACAAGGGGGGGTACACCACCAAGAGAGAACAAGATACTACACTACCTAGTGTACATGCAGTTACATATAACTTCTAACAAGCTCACCATAGCAGCAGCATGGCGAGAAGAAGCGGTCAAACCTCACCTCGGCACCAGCAGCAGCTGCAACAGCAGCAAGGGAGCGAGTATCAGGCGTGATGTTGGTCGTTACACACACTCTCCCCCAGGACTGCCTATCGTACCCATACACTCACCCCCCAACCAAAAACCAACTACTCAGAACCACCCACCTAACCCACACACCCAACCTCCAACGTACACCCACCTACCCAGAACCACCCGTCCAATCCACACACACAACACCCAGCCATGCATCCACCTACCCACAACCACCCACCACCAAGCACCAACTACCCACCAACCCCCAGTCACTGCGAAACCCCCCACCGGCTCACCCACCCACCCCACTAGCAATTTTGTCAGCATTCTTGGACCGTCCCCCGAGGCCTATATCCGGTAAGAAACGGTACTTTTGAACTTTCCAAAAGGCCACGGGAAAAAACAAATAAATCTTCAGGGCAAGGTCTTCAAAGAGTAGCGACTGAGAAAGGCAACGAGCGGGACAGAAGGCGACAGGGGTGGGAAGGGGAGGGGGGGGGGGGGGGTGGGGGGGGGAAGAAAAGGATGTGGTACAAATCAAGCAGAGAATAGGATGATGTGGCACAACATGAAGTCAAGAAGACAGAGGAGAGGAGAAATGGGGAAGAGGGGAGACAGGAAAGGAAGGAGAGAGGGAAGAGGGGAGATAGGAAAGGAAGGAGAGAGGGAAGAGGGGAGATAGGGAAGAGGGGAGATAGGAAGAAAGGGAAGAGGGTATCCGGGAGGCTTGGAAGAGAAGGGACAGGGAAGAGGGGAGATAGGGAAGATGGGTGATAAGCTTGAGGGGGAAAGTGAGGTCAATGAGGGGGGGAAGTTGAGTCAGGGAGAGGGGGGAGTTGAGTCAAGGAGCGGGGGAAAAGGGAGGTCAGGAAAGGGGGGAAGTGAGGTCAGGGAGAAAGTCGAGTCTGGGAGGAGAGGAAAGGAGGACATGAAGAGGGGTGAGTGAGGATATGAGGGGAAGTTAGGACAAGTAGGGGGGAAAGTGAGGCCAAGTACGCGGGGAAGTGAGGCCATGTAGGCGGGGAAGTGAGGCAAAGTAGGCGGGGAAGTGAGGCCATGTAGGCGGGGAAGTGAGGCCAAGTAGGCGGGGAAGTGAAGTGAGGCCAGGGAGGGGGGGAAGTTGAGGCAGGGAGAGGGGGGAAAAATGGGAGGAACATAGGGCAGAAATGGGAGAAAGTGAGGAAGAAACAAGGAAGAACTGTAGGGCAATGATGGGGTGATCATAGGATACGGAGTGGGAAATGTGAAGGCAATGAAAGGGGAGCAACAGAGGGCAAGCAGAGGGGAGAATAGAAGGCAATCAGGGGGGAAACAGAGGGCACGCAGGGGGAAACAGAGGGCACGCAGGGGGAAACAGAGGGCACGCAGGGGGAAACAGAGGGCACGCAGGGGGAAACAGAGGGCACGCAATTCCTCGGGCCGTGACTGTTCTTCAGTATGTATAGCGTACGAATCGCGCAAACTCAAGCATTTGCGATTCGGAGTATAGACTTGCATCGCAAGGATGCTCGACTATCCCGGTGCTCAGCTTCCGAGTATGAAGAGTGGCCGTCGGAGCGATATTCACGCACGCACGCGCAGCGCGAGGCGCCTACAACGGCGGCATACGAAGGCGATCGAGGCGATGATAGCGATTCGCGAGGGGGGGAAGGAGAGGGACGAGCGAGAGGGTGTCGTCGTCCACTAAGGCAGTGATACGAGTGCAATCCGCGGATAACTCGGCCGCAATGACGACTTCGGATAGTCACGACACTATTTGCGGACGTGCGATAGCCCCAGGCGACGCGTGATTCTACAGTGGTGACGCGAGAGGCTCGTCGAAACTGTCCGTGCTCGCTACTTCACATCTAGCCTTCGCTCGTGGCTCAATGAGAGCGGTTCACGCTGGCTGCAATTTAGGGTTTGCTCTTTCCGCCTATCCCCCCCTCCCACAAATTCCGCTGCTCGGTTCGTTTCATTTCGTGCTCCCCTTGTTTCCCTTTTCGCCAACGAAAGCTCTCTTCGTCATGTTCCCAGAATCCCCAGTCCAGACGACAGTTCAGTGAATCTCTATTCGCGCTCTCAGGCACAATCGCGTCGCGGCGTTTCCACACCAGAATTCGTGTCGCATATTCACACGCAACACTGTAGTCATGCACAAGACACATCACAGAATTTCGTGTGTTATTCTGGAGCAAACACAGCAACGGAATCACACTAGAATCTCACACATGAGCTCGCTTGAACTCCCCTACTACGATGAGATCTGGGGGTTACAAGATGGTGGAAGCTATGAACAAAAAAATCCCGATTGTAAAAGCCAGTGCATCCCGTCCTGAGAGGGAAGGCCTTCACAGGCCTGCACAAAGAGCTCGCCTGCATGTGAAAGCTGGTGGTCGGTGTGAATGTGGCTGCGGGTCGTGGCTGATATCGTGTCGGAATTCCAGCGCAATTTTCCCACTGTCGCCATGCACGTCTTTAAAATCCTTGGAACTCGAAGTGCAAGGATTAATCACTACTAACACAACGTGGCTCTGTCTGCCGCTTCGGCAACACGTCGAGACAGGCGTCAAGAAGTCAAGATGTGGTTATTGTGGAAGGAACACGCGTCACATGACCGACCAACAGCACACGATGGCTAAAAGAACAATGTGAACCGAACACATTTGTTGGATCAAGACACAATTTCCATCTCGCCGTGCTTGTTTTCCATTCCTTCCTCGCCTCTCATGTTGCGTGTTTTTCTGCTGTCTTTCATCAGGATGCTAATCTTGCAGGGCCAGTCGCACGTGCCCTTCTGTTAAAATGAACAATCACAGCTCGCACTAGATTTAAGAGATACTTCACACAAGGCATTTGCGAAAAGACCGACGACACGCAGCACCTTATGCGACCTCACAGGCGCTCCTGAACCCAAGCCACGATGAGAGGCTCGGGCGGTGGCGGTACACCAGAGAACTTATGGACATCAGTCCCGTTCTTGAAAAACACAACCGAAGGCGCAGGGGGCGCACGGAGTCCCTGGCACAAGTTGGGATACGCATCGGCGTCCACCACGTAGAAAACGACGGCTTCGCCCTGAAATTGGGGGCGCCTCGCGAGATTGCCAATGCTCTCACCGAGAATTTGGGATTCCGTGCAATCGTTTTTCAGAAAGCCCACCACGATTAATTCCGGAGCCTGCAGAACGCGCTCCCCGAAGTTGTATTCCGTCAACAGATCCACAACCTCAGACTTGGCGAAAGCCATCTGCCAGATGTGAAACTTGAATGCGTTACAGTGTAACTTGAATGACGAAATGTGAAAACAGAAAAGCGGATGCGAAACCTCACCGACGCACACCACGGGCTCTTGTGGATGGCTAAGCAGAGATCAAGCGCAGAGCAGGGGACATGCGAGGGGCAAGGCCTCCAGTCTGTCAGGGAGAAGGCCTGCAGAATGTCTACGTAAAAATGAAAGATCATTTTAGCCAGTTCCATATGAACAACGCAGTGGCCAATGTGGTCCGCCGGGAAGTGGCTGGTGGAAGGAACTTCAGGGCATGATTGAATGCACCCACGTGCGACCGCTGCTATCCATATCTACACGACGCTCCGGTTCTGAAAAACGTCAAGACAGCTGTCACAACTTTCAAGATTTGTGACGCGATTGTGGAAGAAACTCGTGTTACATGACCCACACCACAACCGACTACACAAAATTAGATGAAACAGGATAGAAAAACCAAGGTCCATAGAAAATCGGGTAACTTCTAAATTCAACAAAAGGAGCATTTGATGTTAGCAGTTATATTGTTATATGTAACTGCATGTACATTAGGTAGTGTAGTATCTTGTTCTCTCTCGGTGGTATACCCCCCCTTGTGCCACCTCCTCTTTTCTATATGTATCCTCTCTGCTATAGTGAAAACCCCTCTCATTCTCATCATTCTCTTAGCACAACACTCTAGATTCCCTTGGGCCTAAGCTCCTAAGCCTAGGCCCTACCTAGGCCTGAACGTCCTTATCTTGACATTTGATAACAAACGAGCCTCACACTCAACATCACAATACCGTACAGGTTCCCTCCCATTTGTTGGAAACGTTATCTCACAGACGATGGTTTCTGGAAAAGCAATCACAAGAGGGATACAAAGGAAGGAGAACAAGGAGAACACACAAGCAGCTAGCAAACAAACTTGAGATTGTAGAAAGTAAAAGGAAACAGTTCCACTGCTGCCCTGGCGCACTCTGCAGGATTCCCTTATCCCCGCGCTGCGAGCAGAGAGGCTGTGAATGTCGGCGAGATGTCAAGTCAAGAGTCAAGAGGCCGCCGTGGTAGAACTCCCGTTATTATACAGCACTATATATACCGTATAAGCACTTGAGAACAATATATTCTGGTAACGTATGTAAATCTTGAGCAAAATGAATTTCATTTCTGCCACAGACAGGGTGCTTGACAATCAAATGCCAGTTGCTGTTGATTAACATAAGGCTGGAAAAACATACGTACTCAACAATGTAGTACAGATTTTACAGACTCCACCACTTATGGTGATAAGATGATGCTATGCTACAGACGATGGTTCCTGTAAACACATTCACAGACACGATTGGAAGGAGAACATGTACCGTAATCGGGCAAGAAGAAAAGAAGCCGTCTTGAACATAAGTTGGAGGAGGAAGGAAAGCTAACCGATGCAAAGACATGCATGCAAGTGAATGTGCTGACAGAGGATCCACCAGTGCTGACCTGATCACATACTGACCTGCCCCAGTCCAGCTGTTGGCGCATTGCTGCTGTCAGGAGAAACTCTGGCGAAAATACAGGCACGCCTGATGGTGGGTGTGGGAAGGGGTAAAAGAAATGGCAGCATTTGGGAAGAAAAGGCGGAAGCATGGGCTCAATGTGTTGAAGCACACACGCATGCTGGAGCATGGGAGCATGGTGGCGTGATTTCATTCAGCAGAAGGACATGTTGTGTGGATGGTTGGGGTTTGCAAGGAGCAGGCTGACTTTAAAAAATAGAGGCAGTTTGAGATGACACAGCATGTTGAGATGACACAGCATGTTGAGATGACACAGCATGTTGAGATGACACAGCATGTTGAGATGACACAGCATGTTGAGATGACACAGCATGTTGAGATGACACAGCATGTTGAGATGACACAGCATGTTGAGATGACACAGCATGTTGAGATGACTCAACATCTGATGATTCAGCAGATGAATCACCCACCAGAATCAACAAAGCCACCAACCTTTGAATGCTTGGACTCCCCACATGGGTCGATCTACTTGACATGAGACGATCACCGTGGGAGCAGTGCTGGCAGACAGAGATGGCAGCACCTGGAGGTGCGAGGAGTGGAGAGAGCAGCAGGCGAGGAGGAGAACACGTGTGAGGGCAGCAACAAGGACAGCGACAACGGAATGGACTATGATGCGGGAGGACAGCAACAACTGAGTGTGGACTGGATGGGGAAGGCAGGAGAGAGCAGAGACTGGAGCACCAGCCAAGCCCAAAAGACTGGAGGCCGTGGCGAATCAAGTCACCTCAGCACCAGCACCGGAAGCCAAACATTATGAGCTCACCAAAGCACAAGCACGAGGATAAGAACTGGTCATAGCTCACCTCAGCACCAGCCGCAGCCGCAACAGCAGCAAGGGAGCGAGCATCAGGCGTGGTGTTGGGAGTAACAAACACCCTCTGCCCCTCCAGCACCCCTCTCTCCCTCGCTCTCCCCACCGCCTCTGCCAGCTTGAATCCCATCTCCCTCTCCTTCCCCCTGTCCCTCACTCCATACCCCCCTGCATCCACAAACCCCCGCGCCCTCGCACACGCGTGCAGCCAATCAGCAGTGCACACGTGGCAGCCCCTGGAGATGGCAACAAGGAGATTAATCGAGCGGGTGATTCGCGGCGCCGAGACGAAATGCGTGCAGATGGAAGCAGCAGGCGCAGCAGAAGCAACCACAGGAGAGGAGGACGAGGAGGAGGAGGAGAGAGCAGAGGCAGTGGTGATGGTGGCAGGGGAGGAGTCAGAGACCACGTCCCCTCCTAGCCGCTCCACTATTCTCGTCAGCTCAGCGATCGTGTCGCCGTCCAGCGATCGGCTGAACAGTACCCGCACTGGGGACAAACCATGCAATCCGGTTCGATGCGAGCCTGCTGCACCGCTGCTGCTCCGCCTTCTTCTCGCCCTCCCTGGAAATCCGACTCCCTCCACCCATTCCTGCCCCTCTCCACCTCTCTGATCTCCTTCCCTTTCTCCTCCAACTTCTTCTTTAAAGCCTCTTTCTTGCTTCTGCCCCACCCCATCCACTTCCGTTGCCAGCACTCTCTTGGTTCCCTGACGTCTACCACTCGTGCTCCTACCTAGTCTGGACCCATCATCCCCCCCAGTTCCTTCCCTTTTCACCACTCCCTTCCCCTGCTCCACTGCTTTCCCCCTCCTCTTAGTCTCTTTGAGATCCGCCTGTCCCTCCTCCTCCTCATTCCGTTCACTCTCACTCCCAGTCCCTGCCTTAGCCTGTCTCACCTCCTCCTGTCTCGGCGCATTTGCCCTTGCCTTGCTCTGCGACCTTGCCTTTCCCCTCTGCTGCTTCGCTCCACCTCCCTCCACCCTTCCTGTCCCCCTCTCTTCCACCTCCTTCTCTTCCACCTGCTTCTGTTTCCCCTGCTCGCCTTTCGACCTTGCCTGCTTCCCTCCCACATTCGAACCTTTCTGTCTCGTCCTCGCCTGCCCATCATCTTCCTCCTCACTCTCATCACTCCCCACATCACTCGCCATTTCATCCCCCTTCTCACTCCCATTCTCACTCCCATTCTCACTCCCTTTCTCACTCTCACTCGACTCAAGAAGCTCGTAGAACCCATCATGCAGCCCGAGCGAAGTTTTTCTCCTCTTCCGGCCACTCACGCCACCACCACCACCAGCAACTGCCACCTTCCCCTCTTGATTCTTCACCTCCTTTCCCTCTTGCTTCTTCCCCACATTCCTCACTTGTTTCTTCCCTTCCTGCTCTTGCTTCTTCCCCTCCTGCCCTTCTTGCTTGATCTCCTCCTCCCCCTCCTGTTTCTTCCCATCCTTCCTCTCGTCTTTCCTCCCCTCCTTCCCCTCTTGCTTCCCCTTCTTCCCCTTTTCTTTCTTCCCCCGGTTCCCCACTGCCCCCTCCTCTTCCCCATTCTCCTCCTCTTCCCTTTCCCGATCTCCCTTCTTCCGCCCTCTCTCTCCCCTCTCCCCGCCATTCCCCTCTGCTACAGCCCCGTTGTTCAGCCCGCCGTTCCCCCTCTTACCCTCTCGCTTCACCTGGCAGGCCACCAGGCCTTGGGTCATTCGACTGCTGCCCGCTGCTCGCCTGGCTCCCCTGGTCGTGGTGGCGGTAGCGGCGGCGACTGTTGCTGTCGCGGCAGGTGTAGATTCGCCTGGTGTAGATTGGCCTGGTGCTGGAACGGGAACAGAAGAAGGGGCGTCTACGCCTGCTGCTGGAGCAGCAGCAGCAGAAGGGGCGTCCATGGGGCGAACAGCAGGTGCAGGGGAGGGGTCTATTGCTGGGGCACCAGCAACACCAGAAGTGTCTTTCGATAGAATGGCAGTAGCAGCACCAGAGGCATCAATAGGAGATACATCAGCAGCCGCTGCAGCAGGTGCAGTTTGACGCGTGGTGGTGCCACCTGAAGAGGCAGCAACAGCAGCGGCAGCAGCGGCGGCAGCATCAGGAGCACCACGACCACTGGATTCTTTGGTCCCCTTGATCGCATGCCTTTCATCTGCTTCCAACAAGCCTGGCGCTGTCCTGCCCTTGCCAAATTCCAGCCCAGTCGCCGTGCTTTGCTCTCCTTCCCCATCCACCTGCTTTCCACCCCCTTTCCCTTCTTCCCCACTTGTACCTCCCGCTCCTTGTTCTCCTTGATCTTCCTCCACTGCTCTTTCCAGTCCCACCAGCCCTGCCCCTCGCCCCACGTCTGTCATCCGCCCCACCACCCGCCTTTCCACTGCTGCTGCTGCGGCTGCTCCTGCTGTTGATGCGGCGATATTTGCCGCCGCTCCTGATTGTGCCCCTCCTCCCTTTTCAGCCGTTGTTGCTGGTGTTGCTTGTGCTGGGGGTGCTGTTGGTGCTGCTGGTTCTGCTGGTTCTGTTGCTGTTTCTGCAACTGGTGCTGGTGGTGGTGGTGGTGCTGCTTGTTCTGCTGGTGCTGCTTCCGCTGCTGCTGCTGCTGCTGCTGCTGCTGCTGCTGCTGCTGCTGCTGCTGCTGCTGCTGCTGCTTGTGCTGATGGTGCTTGTTCTGCTGGTGCTGCTTCCGCTGCTGTTGCTGCTGCTCCTGCTGCTGCTGCTGCTGCATGTTCTGCTGGTGCTGCTGGCGCTGGTGGCATTGACACTGCTGCTGACTTAACAGCTTCGTGTGCTGAGGCCAGGTCCCCACTCTCTCCTCGCTCTGGTGTCCCACGTTGCTTCTCAGCTGCTTCTACTGCTGCTGCCTCTCCTGCTCCTGCTGCTGGTGCTCCTGCTGCCGTTGGTGCACCTTCCGCCACTGCGACTGAAGCCACAGCACTCAACTCACCTGCTTCACTCTTGCTTTCCTCCCGCATTATCCCTCCTCTTCCTCCCTTCCCTCTTCCATTCCCTCTCCCCACCCCTCTCCCTTGCCCTCTACCCTTTCCTCTTCCCTTCCCCCTCCCAGCTGCTTTCCTCTTCCCTCTCACGCCCTCCTCTGCTTCCTCAACCTTCCCCTCCTCACCTTGGACGAGAATGAGATCGAGAGCGTCAAGTGCAATCTGAGTGTCCTCGCCCACGGGGGAGAACGCACAAGCAATACCACCAGCAATTCCACCCGCTGCAGCTGTTTGCGCACTGGCTGCCTCTGCTGATCTCGCACTTGCTGTTCCCCCTTCCTCAGTTTCCTTTCCTGCCTCTGCTGCTCCCCCTGCCTCTGCTGCTCCCCCTGCCTCCCCTGCTCCCTCTACCGCTGGAATTCTCCTCCCTCTTGCCCCTCTTTTTACTCCTTCACTGCTCAAACCACTTCCCACTCGCCTTCTCTTCACCTCCATCTCACCATTGCCCCTTCCTGCCTCCGCTTCCCCGTCATTATTCACTCCATCACCTTCCCCGCTTTCCACTGAAGCCATAAGTGCATCCGACTTCCCACTCACGTTGCCCCTCGCCTCACCACCACCCTTGCCCCTCCCTTCACCATCTTTTTTCCCCTCCCCACCATCCTTTTCCTCCTCCCCGCCATCCCTTTCCTTCTCCCCACCATCCTTTTCACCCTTCCCGTTAGCCTTTTCCCCCTCCCCACCATCCTTTTCACCCTTCCCGTTAGCCTTTTCCCCCTCCCCACCATCCTTTTCACCCTTCCCGTTAGCCTTGTCCCCCTCCCCACCATCCTTGCACTCCTTTCCACCTTTGCCCTCATCCCCATCAACCTTCCTTCCATCCCCTCCCTCCTTCTCCTCCACCCTCCCACCCCCCTCCTCGTTCCCTCCCCCGCCCCCTCCCCCCTCCGTCCACCGCTGGGACATCTCCAAGTCCGCAGTTAGCACCTCCCCCAGGCTCACCTGCACGCCTAGGGACCCCCCCGCACCCATCTCCACCGCTTGCGAGTCCATCCAGACCGCCTGGGAATCAAACGGCATCCCATCCGCGTCTTCTGATCCCTGCACCTGCACGCCTGCTGCTACCCCCAGCTCCACATGTCTTTTCAAAGGACCTCCTTCACTCAGCTCCGCGCTCCCCATCCCAGCTGCGTCGCCCAGGCTCAAGCTCGGGTTTAGCAGACCCACAGGACCTCCTTCCTGGCTTTCCACAGGAGCTGACTCCCCCAACCTCGGATGTTGTAGCCCCGTCTCCTCAGCTTCACAAGGAGCAGACTCACCATCTCGCACTTCAATTGCTTTGTCTTCCTTCCCAGCTCTCTCCTCACTCCCCTCCCTCTCCTCCCTCTCCTCTCTCTGCTGCCCCCCTTTCCCTTTCTCTTCCCCTCCTACGCCCTCTCCTGCCCTCCACGACTTAGACAGCCGTCTTCTCTTCCCGCTCCCCTCCTCCTCTTCTTCCTCCTCCTGCAGTTGACTCAGCTTCAGAAAGTACTCTCTATCCAGCCCGTGGCTTGGGCTTGCACCTGCACCCTTCCCTGCCCCTCTCCCCCTCTTCCCCCCGCGCCCTGCAGCACCTGTCCCACGCCCACCCGTCCCTGCCCTGCCTTTCTTCCCCCCTTTGCCCTCGTCCGCCTCCTCTTCTTCCTCCTCGTTCCCCTCTCCAATGCCCTCCGTGCTACCTGCTCCTTTCGATCCCTTGCCTCTCCCCCTCGTCTTCCCTTCTCCTCTCTCCCCTCCTCTCCCACTTCCTCTTCCTCTCCCCTTACCTCTTGCCTTTCCACGCGTCCTCTTCCCCTTCCCTTTCCGAGCCTCCTCCTCTTCTTCCTCTTCCACCTCCTCCTCTTCCTCCACCCCATCTCCCCCACCACTCTTCCCAACCTTCCGCCGTCCACCAGCCTTCCCCCCATCCCCTTTTCCGCTCTCCCCCTCCTCCGCGTCCTCACTGTAAGGCAGCGCGTACGGGTCCACCCCATCGTCCCTCAGCACAGCCTTCAGCGGCTTCTCCACACTAGGAGCCACAGCTTGGCCTTCAGCCACCGTCCCTCCTGCCTTCCCCACAGGCTTGAGCCAGTTTGCCCAGCTAGATACCTCCCTTCCCTTGCTCGTACCTCCTGCCCCACTGCCCTTGCTGTTATTCCCCCCCTCGCCCCCAGCCGCTCCCCCCATGCCTCCGCCCACTCCCCCCAGAAGCAGCCCGCTCAGTGCACCCCCCTGTAGAAGCACGTCGCTGCTGTGCTGGCTGTCGGAGCCCAGCAGGCGTGTGACTATACCGAGGGCGTCCACCTGCGTGTCCTCGCCTGGATCCACCGAGTCCGCACACAAAGCACCTGCTGCTGCTGCTGCTGCTGCTGGTGATGTGTTTGTTGCTCCTGCTGCTGCTTTTCCTGATGCTGCTGCTACCGCCGCTGGTGATGTGTCTGCGAATCCTGCTGCTGTTTTTCCTGCTGATGCTGCTGGTGATGTCTCTGCTGTACCTCTAGCTGCTGCTGCGTCCCCTGCTGTCAGTGCACCTGCTGGTGCTTCCTCCTTCCCTACCTCCACAACCGCCTTCCCCTTCCCAGGCCCAAGCCTTTCATCACCCCTCCCCTTGCCCCTTCCGCGTCCCCCGCCCCTCCTTCCGCCTCTCCCCCGCCCTCTTCCCTTCCCTCCTCCCCTACCTCTGCCTTTGACACTCAAAGGTGATTCCTCCTCCTCTTCTTCATGACCCGCCTGTCCTTGCTTCCCACCCTTTTCTCGGTTCAACCCTTTATCTGTTTCCTCTTCCTCTCCTCTCCTCTGCTCCACCCCTTCCACTTCCACCTCCTCTCTCCGTTCCCCCTCCTCTTGCTTCTTCCCTGCTTCTCCCCTCTCCGCTTCTCCCCTCTCCGCTTCTCGCCTCTCCTCCTCTCGCCTCTCCTCCTCCCGCCCCTGATCTACTCTTTCCCCCAGCCCGCCCTCCGCCTGTCCTCCACCCCTGTCTAACCCTTTCCCTGTCACCTTCCCCACTCCCTCCCCAGCAACAACCAAACTCGAATCATTCCCCTTTTCCTTTTCCTTATCATTCCCACACTTACTAGGGCTCCAACTCCCACCATAACCATACACCTGCGTCTCGTCCTCCCCCACAATCTGAGTATCCGCCAACCATCCATCCCCCGCCCAGTCCATCTCCTCTGTCTCTCCCCTAACTTCCGCGCCCTCCCCTCCGCCATACCCCTTCCACAACTCCCCCCACTCCTCCTCCGCCACCGCCATCTCTCCCCCACTCCCCTCTTCCTTCCCCCCGCTGTCTTCCGCCTTCACACTTCCGCCCGCCATTTCCCCCCAACCATTACCCCCCGCCTCCTGGCCTTTGTGACTCCCTCTTACCATTTCGACTCTCAGAGCCTCAAGCACATTCTCCTTCCGTTTTTCGTCGCCAGCGCAAGCTGTGTTACTCACACCAGCGAAAACCTTCGCCAATACGCCACCCATTTCGCCCTCTTCGACAGCCTTCGCCCTCCCACTCCTGCTTTTTCTTACCTTAGAAATAGAACTATCGGCAATCCCAAGGGACTGATCACAACTCGCCTCGGCACTACTAAGCCGTGAACCAGACCTCGCAGCCAGGCTCGGACTACACTCAGGAGGGAGGCTTGAACTAGGTTTGAGACTCTCGTTCGGACTAGGTTTGATGATGTCCCCGTTAACAGGAAACGGCACGTCCGGTGACGGAGTGTGCTGTCGCGTTGTATTAGCGTGAGGCTCTAGCGAGCCATTCGCGTTGACCTCTAACGTATCAGTTTCGTGCGAAGGCTTGCAACGGCTTCGCGTAGCAGCAACCATCGTTACCACCTAGGGTGACGATCGGTAATTAAAGACGGCATAAGTTGACTAATCTCTGAAAGAGTGTACCGTCCAACACTGAACAAAGGGCTTTAGGTGATTCGCAGTAATAACTAAATGCAAAGGACACTAGGAAACCCTAGAAACAAGCAGGGAATGGTTTTTCGAAAGTCAAACAACCGCCTGAAAAAAGACGAAGCTCCGAGATTTATTCTAAAAAGGAGCAGGAGCTTGAACGTGTGCAAGAAGCTCCAGCCTGAATTTCAATCGTAGAACTTCCCGCCAAATCCCGCCTGAGCTTCATGATCGTCATCGTCGTATGGTTGACGATGAAATCGAGGTAGGAGTTTGGCTTAGGACCGAACCTGCAATGCTGACTGGGGGACGTGAAGCTGACGCTCCCGCCCGCTACACCTTCGGATGTCAATATACGCGATACAAGAATAAACATCACGGTACTTGATCGAACTAGAAAGTGTAGGCAGTAAAAGTTCAGTACAGCTGGTTTTGCACCTTACCCAGAACGTTGTTCTTCCCCCTCAAACCCAGAACTTTCAAAGCAGCAAAACTGGTCGCGAAAAATCTAGGTCTAGGACATGTTAGAAACTAGCAGCAGGAATGGATCAACTAACAGGATGCAGGAGTACAAGTAGTAAACCCTACTAGGTTGTACCCCATATGGGCTACCCCACTACAGCCTAGACAATATGCAGCACATATAGTTTGACACACCCCCATAGGCAAAGTGGGGGAGAACCAGGGGTCACACGACCAGTCAAGAGAAGCAAAACAAGCTCAGGGTGGATCACAACGTCACCACGCATTTCGAGCACAAGCAAAAGGTCACAGGGCCAGTTCACATGCAGAGATATATATGCAGCAATAACAGTACAGTGATGGCTACCTAGCAAGAGCCAGCATGCAGGTATATATATAGATCACAGTACAAACAGAGACTACAGCAAGTGCGGAAACGTAGGCACAAGGCCCAACAGAGTACAAAAGCGCTGATGATCACCAGACGGAAGTGCCTTGGTGAATATATCAGCAGTGTTGGCCCGAGTGGCCACGTGGCGAAGACGAAGCTGGCCTCGCTGCTGCAACTCTCGAGCCAGGAAGTAACGCAGAGCAATGTGCTTCGTTCTGTGCTCCAGTCTGTGCTCCTCACACAAGGCAATGGCGGCTGTCGACGTACAGCACTGGAGGAGAACGAGGCTGCTCTCCCAAGTCAGTCAGCAGGTAGGTGAGCCAGCGTAACTCCTGTGCAGCCATGGCTGTGGCGTAGATCTCAGCCTCACAACTGGAGCCGAGAACTGAAGACGAGCGTGTAGAACGCCACGAAACTGAACCAGAGCCAAGGCTGAAGGTGTAACCCTTTGACGACCGCTGAGTAGCCAGGTCGTCAACCCAAGAAGCGTCTGAGTGCCCAGTGAGGACAACTGGGCTCGTCCCTCCAAGCACTAGCCCCATGCCTGATGTGCTGCACAAGTAGCGCAGTACCCTCTTAGCAGCAGCCATGTGCTCAGGTCGGTGCCGACCAGGAGCCACGTAGCGAGCCAGAAGACCAAGAGGGTACGCGAGGTCAGGTCGAGTGCAAGTCATCAGGTACATGAGGCAGCCGACTAGCTCTGGGTAAGGACCACTCGGCTCTACGGACTCGTCCGAAGGTGGAGCTGAGAGCGAATGACCTGTAGCCAGAGGAGTGGCCTGTGCTGAAGACCAGGTGAAGCCGAAGCGCTGAAGGACCTGCTGCACCATGTGTGACTGAGTCAGGGTGATGGTGCAGCGTGCTCTGTCCCGGGTGATCTGCAAGCCAAGGTAGCTGCGCAGCTCACCCAAGTCTGTGCACGTGTGTCTCTTCTGCAGCTCCGACTTCACGTGGGCGAGAGCCTCAGTGTCAGAAGTGGCAAAAACCAAGTCGTCGACGTACACGAGGATGTAGAACGGCGGCAGTGAAGTGTCGGTGCGCAGAAACAGCGACGGGTCAGTAGTAGAAGGCGCGAACCCAAGAGCCGCAAGCGTAGTCCTCAGTGTGTCGTGCCACTCACGTGGCGCCTGGCGGAGACCGTAGACCGGCCGCCGGAGGCTCCACTGGGTGCCAGGAGGGAACGACCCAGTGAAGCCCGGGGGGCGGCGCAGCCAGATCTCCTCGTGCAGGCTGCCCTGCAAGAAAGCTGTGCTGAAGTCAAGAGAGTGAAGCTCGTAGTCACGGTGAGCAGCAACATGCAGCAGCACCCGAAGAGTGGTCATCTTCGGGGTGGGGGAGAAGGTCTGGAAGAAGTCAACTCCCTCTCGCTGACTGAAGCCTCGAGCTACGTAACGCGCCTTGAAGACAGGCGGAGAACCCGGCGGCCGCTTCACCCTGAAAATCCACATGCCACTGACGATGTTCGCCCCAGGTGGGGGAACCTCGTCAACGTAGGTGCCTGTGGACTTCCAGGAAGCCATCTCTGCGTCCATGGCTGCCTGCCACTGAGAGGAGTAGGGACCCTCTATCGCCTCTGCGTAAGAGCGCGGAGTCGGGATGTCTGGTGCATCCGGGTCTCCCTCAAGGGCAAGTAGCGAGGACACAAGATGAGGTAAAGCAGCAGCAAGACACTGGAACTCCTCCTGCCTGTCCTCAAGGACGTCCGTGCTAAGAGCACACTCACCTCCGACGGACGGAGGACAGACAGACTCAGACTCAGCAACAAGACTGGCGGTGTAGTCTAGACGACAGGCAGCAGCAAAGTCAACAAGCTCAGCGACCAAGGCAGACGCAGCAGTAGACTCAAACGACGGGTCAGTGACAATAGTGGCTAGGAGACGCGTGACAGTAGGGTGCTCAGTACGAAACCGGTCAGACTCAGGGTCCGGAACGGCAGGCAGAGAGGACGCAGGAGGAGACGGTAGAGGAACAGGCGGCGGAGCAGAGGAAGGACAACGGACTACGAGGTGTGCGCCGGGGACAGCCGGCTGACGCGAACGAGGAACACGACGACCGGTATGACCAGGACGAACAGGCGAAACAGGACGCGACGCAGGCTCACGACGCTCAGCAGGACTACCAGTCAGCTCAGCGTAAGGAGAAGGAGCAGGCAGCGGTGAGCCAGACTGTAACGGAAGACCAGTAGACGACGGAAGAGTAAGAACCTGACGAAGAACAGAGGCAGACGGCGGCAGAGACGACGGAGACGGCGGAGCGAAGAACAGTCGTGTCGGCGCAGCTGCACCAGTACCAGCAGCTCCAGCAGCTCCAGTGCCTCCAGCAGCTCCAGTACCTCCAGCAGCTCCAGTACCTCCAGGCCCAGAGCCGACACCTCGAGTCCCAGGGTCTCCAACCTCTGTGTCTCCAGCAGCAGCACCCCCAGAACCAGCACCTCCAGCTCCAGGGTCTCCAACCTCAGTGTCTCCAGCAGCAGCACCCCCAGAGCCAGCACCTCCAGTCCCAGGGTCTCCAGCCTCAGTGTCTCCAGCACGAGCCCCTCCAGAACCAGCAACTCCAGCACCTCCAGTAGACAAAGGACCAGCACGACTCCGAGCTCCAGCAGCGCGGCGCTGACGGCGACCGTACCAGTCCTGCAGCTGCTGTGGGGTGAGAGGCACACGTGGACGAAGGCGGCCACTCCAAGGAGACCGCGCAACAGCAGACTCAGAACCCTCAGCGCCCGCACCCCCAACGGCTCCAGAACCTCCGGTGTCAGTACCCTCAGCACAAGTACCACCAGCGGCTCCAGAACCTCCAGCTCCAGCGTCACCAGTACTAGGCCCTCCAGCAGCTCCCGAACCTCCAGCGCCAGCACCCTCAGTAGCTCCAGAACCTCCAGCGTCAGTACCGCCAAGCTCAGCACCCCCAGACCCCTCACACTCAGGCTCAGCACCACCAGGCTCTACACCCTCAAGCTCCGCACCCGCAGGCTCAGTACCCCCAGGCTCAGCACCCCCAGGCTCCGCACCCCTAGGCTCAGCACCCCCAGAAGTAGCACCCCGAGCAGGACCACTCTCAGTAGGACCTGAGTCACCAGTGACCTCAACCGGCGCAGTCAAGGGAGGAGGGTCTACCTGAGAAACACCTGAAGGAGCAGGACCGGGAGCGGGGAGGGGGTCTACCTGGGGAGCACCTGGAGCAAGGAAGAGCGGCGGGGGGGGGAGCGAGGCAGTGCGGTAGGGGAAGAGACGGTAAAAGGGAACCGACTCGTCGAACGTGACGTCCTGAGACGCAAAGACACGGCGCGAGGTGGGGTGGTAAAACTGCCAACCAGGCGCGTCAGGGACAAAGCCAAGGAAGACACAGGGAACAGCGCGGGCGGAGAGCTTGTCCGCGGTGGTATCGCGGACAAAGGCACGAGCACCCCAGACCCGGAAACGCGATGCATCGCCAACCTTCCCCGTCCACATCAGTGTGGGCGAGGTCTCCGGCAAGGAGACACGGGGCCAGAGGTTGAGCTGATGCGCGGCGTACCGGACCGCAAACGGCCACAGAAAATGGGGGGCAGCCGCATGGATCAGGGAGGTACGAGCGACCTCCATGACTAAGCCAATGCGGCGCTCAGCAACCCCATTCTACTGCGGAGAGGCCGGAAGCGTGAACGACTGGGCGATGCCGTGCTCCGCACAGTAGGCTGCCAAGAGGTTGGAGGAGAACTCACCACCTCTGTCAGAGTGCAGACGCAGGACAGGAAAGTCCGACCGGAACCGCTCGCGGAGCTGGAGACGAACTGCGCGGATCCAGGGGATCAAAACAGCAGGGACATCCGCCTTGCTCCGCAAGGGGAAGACCGTGGTGTAACGCGTGTAGTCGTCGACAACCAGCAGGAAGTACCGCTCGTGGCCCTGTCCCTGGACGCGGGCTGGGCCCCACACGTCCAGGTGGAGCGTCTGCAGTGGAGCCTCTGTGGGAGGAAACGAGGAGGAGTGAGGAGCGGCGCGCTGCCGCCCCTCGACACAAGGAATGCAGGGCGGCGCAGGCGAGGGAGGGAGGGCAGGCAGAGACCTGGGGAGACCAGAGACCAGGGAGCGAGAGTGCATGCTACGCAGGCGAGGCAAGGAGGGGTGACCAAGGCGGTGGTGCCACAGGAGAGTGTCGTGCGACAAAGCGCGACACTCGTAGGGGGCCGCCAGCTGACCAGACGTAGACGCAGACGCAGCTACCTGAGGGGACGCAGTGGTCAGTGTGTACAGACTCGAGCCAGGTGCACGGGTGAACGTGGCCAAGTGCCGGCCCGTCCTAGCAAGTGAGTCACTCGCTGACTCGCAGGAGTGAACTGGTGAACCCCCCCATCCTGGAGGTCAGCTCCACTCACCAAGTTCGTAGAGAACGAGGGGAGGTAAAGACCTGACAGGAAGCCAGACGGGACGGCCGGACACGGCAGAACCGTGGAGTGGTGGGCAATGACTGGACCCCCAGAGGGGTCCGCCAGGGAGACCGGGACTGGCCGACTGAGCGGCGTGAGTGCGGTGCAGTCGCGAAAGAAGGAGCGGGAAGCTCCTGAGTCAAGGGTGAAGGTGTGCGAGACCGCAGTGGGCGCAGTACCAGAGAGAGCAGAGTCACCAGCACCTGAAGCCACGGCCTCACCAGTACCTAGAGCAGTAGACGTACTAGCACCGAGAGCAGCAGCCTCACCAGCACCTAGAGCAGGAGACGCACTAGCACCTAGGGCAGCAGCCTCACCAGGGTCAGGCGGTACGCACAGGTAACAGGCACGGTCAGCACTAGTAGACAAGGCATACATGGCAGTGAGAATAGCATCATAGTCAAGCGCAAAGATATCTACCCTCTGTCCATGCAGCTCCAGCCAGGTGGGGAGCTCAGCCTCGTCGCCAAACACTGTGCGCCAGGCGTCGCTCAGACGGGCGAAGCAGCGGGACTGTGTGTGACCAAGCGTCCCACAAGGCTGACCAGTCCTAGCACCTGTGCGAATGACGTACGGGCAGCGAACTGTACGGGTAGACCTGCTACACTGAGCGTACCACTCCTGGAGCTGCCGAGGCGTAAGTGGCTCGCGTGGACGCCCCTGCAGCTGCAGCTGGCCACTGCTAGACGCTCCCAACTGACCAGCCCCAGGGCGACAGCTACGACGGCTACCGCGACAACCCCAGCTAGTATACCACTCACTAAGCTGCTGGGGCGTGAGAGGCTCGCGTGAACGTCGCTGGAGCTGCATCTGGCCACCTGCCAGTAGCAGTAGCAGCAGCAGCAGCGCGGGCAGGGCAGGCGTGGCAGGCAGGTAGGCAAGCAGGCAGGCAGGCAGGCAGGCAGGAAGGCAGGCAGGCAGACAGGCAGACAGACAGGCAGGCCGGCAGGCAGGCAGTCAGGCCGGTAGGCAGGCAGGCAGGCGCGCAGGCAGGCAGGCAGGCAGGCAGGCCGGCAGGCAGGCAGGCAGCCAGGCAGGCAGGCAGGCAGGCAGACAGGCAGGCCGTCAGGCAGGCAGGCAGACAGACAGGCAGGCCGGCAGGCAGGCAGGCAGGCCGGCAGGCAGGCAGGCAGGCGCGCAGGCAGGCAGGCAGGCAGGCCGGCAGGCAGGCAGGCAGTCGCTCACCAAAGGCTGGGAGAGCAGGCGCTCACCGGGCGAGCAGGGCCGGCGCTCGACAGCGGCGACGTCGGGGCCGCAACACCGGCTGCAGAGCAGGGCCGAAGCAGCTGCAGGGCGGGGCCGCTTCAGCGGCAGGTCGGGGCCGTGGCAGCTGCAGGGCGGGGCCGCATCAGCGGCAGGTCGGGGCCATGGCAGCTGCTGGGCGGGGCCGCATCAGCGGCAGGTCGGGGCCGTGGCAGCTGCAGGGCGGGGCCGCATCAGCGGCAGGTCGGGGCCGAGGCAGAGGGCCGCGCGCGGCTCGGCGCGGGCTGCGCTGACAGCGCGCTAAGCTGATGCAGGCCGCGCGCGGCCGCGCTAGGCAGTAGCGGGCCGCGCGCGGCTCGGCGCGGGCTGTTGCGGGCCGCGCGCGGGCCGTGCGAGGCAGTAGCAGGCCGCGCGCGGCTCGGCGCGGGCTGCTGCGGGCCGCGCGCGGGCCTCGCGAGGCCGTAGCAGGCCGCGCGCGGCTCGACGCGGGCTGCGTGGGCTCGGCGCGGGCTGCGCGCGGCAGCTGCGAGCTGCGCGCGGCTCGGTGCGGGCTGCGCGCGGCTGCAGCGGGCTGCGCGCGGGTCGGTGCGGGCTGCGCGCGGCTGCAGCGGGCTGCGCGCGGCTCGGTGCGGGCTGCGCGCGGCTGCAGCGGGCTGCGCGCGACTCGGTGCGGGCAGCGCGCGGCAGCAGTGTGCTTAACGGTCTGCAGGGGCTGTGTGCGGGCCTGACGGGCGTGTAGAGGCGGCGCGCGGGCCTTACGGGCCTCTAGGGGCAGCGCGCTGGCCTAGGGCAGCAGGAGGCAGCGCATGTGCAGCACGTCACAAGGCAAGGCAAGGCAGGCAGGTACGTGGGGTAGCGCGGTAACCGCAGCGGTAGGTGGGCCCGAAAAAAAAAAACGGTCCTACGGACCTTAGTGCTCTGAAACCATGTTAGAAACTAGCAGCAGGAATGGATGAACTAACAGGATGCAGGAGTACAAGTAGTAAACCCTAATTGGGTTGTACCCCATATGGGCTACCCCACTACAGCCTAGACAATATGCAGCACATATAGTTTGACAGGGCACACTCTCTCTAGTCATCTCTCTCGGTTGCGATCTGAGGGCGGATTCCTGGGCACGGACACCATCCAAAGTTCTCCCACGCGGTGCGTGATGTGCAAAACAACATTTGAATGTTGCGCCACGCGGTTCGGTGTCCGGACACTTACGAAACTAACGGCCAATGAACTTGCGACCGAAGTGCACGTCAATTGTTTGGATTTGCGACCCTGGAACAGCCCGGGTAACAACCAAGAGTAACTGCACAGTGCAGATGTTACGAAAGAACCATGTCGATCAACCGGCACGTTTCGTTCGGTTAGCTGCCCGTGATTCTCACGCACTTCGATCCCTTCCAACCGAATCAGTTTCCTTCTGATTACGAGGCCTTTATATTTTCTAGTGCCCGTGACTCATGGTTGGCCGTTGACAATTCGCTTCCCTCAGATTGTAGCCGAATTTGTTTTTGCTATCGCGGGGCTTTTTTATTGGTTGCGAACACAATTAACAAAGGAATTCTGGAGGTGAACGCGTGCGACGGAGATCGCCTGACGAACCCTGCCAAGTGTCCAGAGTGGGGGCCTGCCCCACCTGGACACCATAATAGCGCAAAAACCCTTCAAATGGGAGAACTTCGGATGGTGTCCAGGCCCAGGAAATCCAATCTAAGTACTCGGTTCCCGCTTCCTCGCCTTCTACTCATTGCGTGCTCGTTTCCGTTCTTTTCCTCTTCCTTCGTCTTTCTAGACATAAATCTCAAAATGGCGAGGTCGAAAAATGCGCCGGAGAAGAGGTGGAAACCGGCGACCCAGAAGCCGCTAAGCGTGGCGAAATCCTCCGCGAAATTACAAAAAGCGACTGTTACCACCGCGGCGCCAGCCGCAAAAGGCAAATCGTATCAACAGGACTAGGCAAGAATGATGCATTGAATGAAACAGTTGGGTACAAGTAGCTAACCCTAGTTGGGGTTGTACCCCATATTGGCTACCCCACTACAGCCTACCAACATATAACACATTACACTTTAACACACCCCCATAGGCAAAGTGGGGGAGAACAAAGGGTCACAAGCCAAGGTAGCTACGCAGCTCACCCAGGTCAGTGCAGGTGTGTCTCTTCTGCAGCTCCGACTTCACACGAGCGAGTGCCTCAGTGTCAGCAGTAGCAAAGACCAAGTCGTCGACGTACACGAGGATGTAGAACGGCGGCAGCGACGTGTCTGTGCGCAGAAACAGTGACGGGTCAGCAGTGGAAGGAGCAAACCCAAGGGCCGCAAGTGTAGTCCTCAGTGTGTCGTGCCACTCGCGCGGCGCCTGGCGGAGACCGTAGACTGGCCGCCGGAGGCTCCACTGGGTACCAGGAGGGAACGACCCAGTGAAGCCAGGAGGGCGGCGCAGCCAGATCTCCTCGTGGAGGCTGCCCTGCAAGAACGCTGTGCTGAAGTCAAGAGAGTGCAGCTCGTAGTCACGCTGAGCAGCAACGTGCAGCAACACCCGAAGAGTGGTCATCTTCGGGGTGGGGGAGAAGGTCTGAAAGAAGTCAACCCCCTGACGCTGACTGAAGCCTCTAGCAACGTAACGAGCCTTGAAGACAGGTGGAGAACCTGGCGGCCGCTTCACCCTGAAAATCCACATGCCATCGACGATGTTCGCCCAAGGAGGGGGAACCTCGTCGACGTAGGTGCCTGTGGATTTCCAGGATGCCATCTCTGCGTCCATGGCTGTCTGCCACTGAGAGGAGTAGGGACCCGAGATCGCCTCTGCGTAAGAGCGCGGAGTGGGGATGTCTAGTGCATCCGGGTCTCCCTCAGGGGCAAGCAACGAGGCCACGAGATGAGGTACAGCAGCCGCAAGAGAGTCAAAGTCCTCCTGCCTGTCCTCAAGGACGTCCGTGCCAAGAGCACACTCACCCCCGACGGACGGAGGACAGACAGACTCAGACTCAGTAACAAGACTGGCGGCGTAGTCTAGACGACAGGCAGCAGCAAAGTCGACAAGCTCAGCGACCAGGGCAGACGCAGCAGTAGACTCAAACGACGGGTCAGTGACAACAGTGGCGAGAAGACGCGTAACAGTAGGGTGGGCAGCACGAACACTGTCAGACTCAGGGTCGGGAACGTCAGGAAGAGAAGACGCAGGAGGAGACGGTAGGGGGACACGCTGTGGACCAGTGGAAGGACGAAGGGCCATAATGTGCGTGCCAGGAACAGGAGGAGGACGCGGACGCGCGACACGACGACCAGTGGGACCAGTGCGCGCAGTGCGAGCAGCGCGAGCAGCGCGAACAGGCGAGGCAGGACGAGACGCAGGCTCACGACGCTCCGTAAGCGAGTCCGGCTGTGCAGTGTAAGGCACCGGAGCAGGGAGGGGGGAGCCAGGCTGGAGGGGAAGGCCAGTGGAAGACGGGAGGGAAAGAACCTGGCGAAGTACCGTGTCAGGCGGTGGCAAAGCCGACGGCGACGGTGGAGCGAAGAACAGTCGCGACGGCGGAGCTCCGCCAGTACCTCCAGCACCCGCAGCACCAGAAGCACCAGTACCAGCGCCCCCCGCCGCAGCACCCCCAGAGCCGGCGACGTCAGCACCAGAGGCCCCAGCAGCGTCAGACCTCCCCTCGCCAGCACCTCCAGAACCAGCAGGACCAACGCGTCCAAAACCGTCAGCTCCAGTGTCGTCAGCTCCAGGAAGAGCACCCCCAGAGCCGGCAGCTCCAACCCCGCTAGCACCGCCAGCTCCAGCAGCTCCAGCCTCAGTGCTCCCAGAACAACCACAGCTCCAGTACCTCCAGTACGAGCACCTCCAGGACGAGCAGCTCCAGAACCTCCAACTCCAGCAGGGCCACGAGGACGGCGAAAGCGCCGGACGTACCAGTCACGAAGCTGCTGCTGTGTGAGAGACGGCTCAGCACCCCGAACCGGAGCACCCCCAGACGCAGCAACCCCAGGCTCCGTAGGCTCAGTCGCAGCACCCCCAGGCTCAGTACCCTCAGGCTCAGCACCCCCAGGCTCAGCACCCCCAGACTCGGCACCCCCAGGCTCAGTACACCCAGGCTCCGTACACGCAGGCTCAGCACCCCCAGTCGCAGCACCCCCAGGCTCAGCACCCCCAGGCTCCGTACTCTCAGGCACCGTACCCTCAGCTCCAGCACCCTCAGTCCCAGCACCCGCAGCCCCAGCACCCCCAGGCCCAGCACCCCCAGGCTCAGCACCCCCAGGCTCAGCACTCCCAGCAGCACCACCCGCAGCAGCACCTGAGTCACCTGTGACCTCGACAGGCTCAGCGACGGGAGGAGGGTCTACCTGAGAGACACCTGAAGGAGCAGGACCCTGAGGGGGAAGGGGGTCTACCGGAGGGGGACCAGGAGCGAGGAAAAGCGGCGGGGGAGGGAGGGGGGCAGTGCGGTAGGGGAAGAGACGGTAAAAAGGGACCGACTCGTCAAAGGTGACGTCCTGAGAGGCGAAGACCCGGCGCGAGGTGGGGTGGTAAAACTGCCAGCCAGGCGCGTCAGGGACAAAGCCAAGGAAGACACAGGGAAGCGTGCGGGAGGAGAGCTTGTCCGCGGACGTATCGCGGACAAGGGCACGAGCACCCCACACCCGGAAGCGCGACGCATCGCCAACCTCCCCCGTCCAACGCAGTGTGGGCAAGGTCTCCGGCAAGGAGACACGGGGCCAGAGGTTGAGCTGATGCGCGGCGTACCGGACAGCAAACGGCCACAGAAAATGGGGAGCCGCCGCATGGACCAAGGAGGTACGAGCGACCTCCATGACCAGGCCAATGCGGCGCTCAGCAACTCCATTCTGCTGTGGGGAGTCCGGAAGCGTGAAGGTCTGCTCGATGCCCTCCGCCTGACAGAAGGTCCTCAAGAGGTCGGATGAAAACTCACCACCTCTGTCAGAGTGCAGACGCAGGACAGGAAGATCTGTCCGGAAACGGCGGCGGAGCTGGAGACGAACTGTGCGGATCCAAGGGATCAGAACAGCAGGGACCTCACCCTTGGTGCGCAAGGGGAAGACCGTGGTGTAACGCGAGTAGTCGTCAACAACCAGCAAAAAGTACCGCTCACCGCCCTGACCACGAACGCGGGCTGGGCCCCACACGTCCAGGTGGAGGGTCTGCAGAGGAGCCTCTGTCGGGGGGAACGAGGAGGAGTGAGGAGCGGCGCGCTGCCGCCCCTCGACGCAAGGAAGGCAAGGCGGCGCAGGCGAGGCAGGGGGGGGGGGGGGGGGAGGGACCTGGGAAGACCAGACACAAGGTGGCGACGGTGCATGCCACGGAGGCGTGGCAAGGAGGGGTGACCCAGGCGGTGGTGCCAGAGAAGAGTCTGGTGCGACAGGGAACGACACTCACAGGCGTGGGCTACCAGACCTGACGCGGACACCTGACCGACAGCAGCGACCTGAGGAGACGCAGTGGTCAGTGTGTAGAGACTCGACCCCGGCTGACGGGTAAACGTAGCCAGGTGACGGCCTGTCCTGGAGCACGTGAGGATCGCCACACGCTGTCCTCCAGGGGTAAAGGTGTCAACCCACTGATCCTGGATGACAGCGTTGCTCACCAGGTTCGTCGAGAACGAGGGGAGGTGGAAACCCGACAACGAGCCAGACGGAACCGCCGGACACGGGAGCACAGTGGTGGACCGTGCAAGGACTGGGCCCCCAGAGGGGTCAGCCAAGGAGACTGGGACCGGTGCAGGAAGCGGAGTGAGCTCAGTACTGTCACGAAAGAAACAGCGGGAAGCACCTGAGTCAAGGGTGAAGGTGTGCAAGGCCTCAGCCGGTGCAGTACCTGAGAGAGCAGTCTCTGTGGGTGCTGTACCTGAGAGAGCAGACTCACAAGCAGCAGGGACAGTACTGGAGGGAGCAGTTACAGGGGGCACCATACCAGAGAGAGCAGACTCACTAGTACCTAGGGCAGCGGGCTCTATACCTGGGTCAGGCGGCACACACAAGTAACAGTCTCCCTCGGCACTAACAGTCAATGCATACATGGCAGCAATAATAGCATCATAGTCAAGAGCAAAGATATCAACACCAGCCCTCATGAGCTCAGCCCAGCGGGGGCGCTCAACATCCTCGCCCATCTCCTCACGCCAAGCGTCGTCAAGGCGGAAGAAGCAGCGGTACTGAGTGTGGAACTTTCCACACGTCTGCCCCTTGCGATCACCTGTGCGAATGACATAGGAACAGCGGCCACTGCCCCCCGACGTCCCACGCTGAGCAAGCCACTCACGAAGCTGCTGGGTCGTCTGGGGACGCTGCTGCTGCTGGGAGCTCTGGCCCGAGCCGGTGCCTCCACTCCGACCTCCACCGCCGCCACTACCTCCGCTCCGACCGCCACCGCCGCCACCGCCACCGCCGCTACCGCCACCGCCGCCACTGCCGCCGCTGCCACCACCGCCACTGCTCCCGCCGCCGCCCCCGCCTCCGCCGCCGGCCCCACTCCCACCAGCACTCCCGCCACCGCTCCCTCCAGCACCGCCTCCCCCCCCACCTCCCCCACCCCCTCCCCCCCCAGCGCCACCCCCGCCACCCTTGCCCCCCTTGCCCTTGCCGGTGCGGCGCCTCCCACCAGGAGCAGAAGCAGCGCCAGCAGACTCAGCACCAAGGAAGTCAACAGCAGCAGCAGTAGCATAGGAGGGAGCGAGGGGAGAGGGAGAGCACCCCTCAAAGATGGGGGTGCGAGGAGCGCCGCGAGCAGCACCTACAGCTACAATGCTCTTCTCGGCTGCTAGCAGCTTCTCCTCTAGGAGGGCGACAGTGAGCTCAGTGGGACAGCGAGCAAGGAAATAGTCGCGCACTGAGCTGAGGGTGTCAGGGAGACGGGTGACTATGAAGTGGAGTGTCCAGTACAGTGGAGGGGGGTTCTTAGCGCAGAACTCGGTGGGAAGGGCGGCACGCAGGCGAGCGTCACTAGTGCGAAGGTGGGTGATAAGATCGGCGACTGTAGCAAAGGTGGACAGCTCAGGGAACAGGTAAGGCAGCATGAGGCGGCTAAGCTCGGCTGTGGCAGGCGAGGAGTAGCGAGCAACGACAGCGTCGTAAAGGGCCTTAGCGGTTTTGCAGTCGCCAAAATGCTCGAGCTCAGCTAACGGCAGGTGACTGCGAATGGCTAGGCGAGCAGCAGCGTCACGCGTCTGCCAGTGGGAACGGGCACTAAGCTCGGCTGTGGCAGGAGGGGCAGGCGCAGCACCAGATGCGTAATCATAGAGTGACACGTGCTCCTTGCTATCGCTCAGGAGGAACAGCTGCAGGTCATCTAGCCAAGTGGTGAACTGCACAGGGCGGCCCTCAGCATCGAAGGACAGCACGCGGATGGAAGCCATCGCGACAGCACGTCAGAGCAAAGCAAGCAGCCGCAGCAGGGGAAGGCTGGCACTACGGGCAGGCGGCGCTGCAAGCAGGTAGCTCGGTGGGGAGCGCGGCGGGCGGGCGGCGCTCTGAGCGGGCAGCGTGGCAGGTAGCGCGGCGGGCAGGCGGCGCTGCAAAGAGGCAGCGCGACGGGCGGGCGACGCTGTGAGCGGGCAGCGCGGCGGACGGGCGGCGAAGCGGGCAGCGCGGCGAGCAGGCGGCGCTGCAAGCGGGGAGCGCGGCGAGCGGGCGACGCTGCGAGCGGGCAGCGCGGCGGGCGGGCTGCGAAGCGGGCAGCGCGGCGGGCAGGCGGCGCTGCAAGCGGGCAGCGCGGCGGGCGGGCGACGCTGCGAGCGGGCAGCGCGGCGGACAGGCGGCGCTGCAAGCGGGCAGCGCGAGCGGGTAGCGCGGCGGATGGGCGGCGCTACTGGCGGGCAGCGCGGCGGGTACAGCGCAGCGAGCGGGCAGCGCGACTGGCAGCGCGACGGGCAGCGCGGCTGGCGACGCGCGGCGTGACGGGCAGCGCTACGGGCGGCGCGACGAGCAGCGCGGCGGGCGAGGGCGCTAACGAGGGGCGCTAACGAGGGCGCTAACGAGAGGCGCGCGAGGGCGCTAACGAGGGCGCGCGAGGGCGCTAACGAGGGCGCGCGAGGGCGCTAACGAGGGCGCACGAGGGCGCTACGAGGCTAGGGCACGGGGTAGCGTGGTAACCGCATGCGAGCGGTGGTGGGCCCTAAAAAAAAACGGTCGGTAGGACTTAGGGACCTCCTGCTCTGAATACCATATCAACAGGACTAGGCAAGAATGATGCATTGAATGAAACAGTTGGGTACAAGTAGCTAACCCTAGTTGGGGTTGTACCCCATATTGGCTACCCCACTACAGCCTACCAACATATAACACATTACAATTTAACAAATCGCACATCAGCGCGAAAGCGAAGCCGCTTTTAACGAAAATACAGGAGATGATTGCGAAGAAGAAGCAGAAGAAAATCGCAGCGAAGGCAGCAGCGGAAGAGGCGTCGAAAGCCAATCAGAGCACGCGAGTTGTCCATGTGGGGCTTATCCCGAAGAGCGAGTTGCAGGGGAAAGCGGCGGGTTCGTTAGCGGGGGCACTGGAGGGGAAGGAAGTGGTGGGCTTTAAGAAGGAGAAGGTTCTGGTGCTGTCTTCGCGAGGCATCGTGTACAGGTCGGTCGTGATGTGAAAATAGGGTTTGGTTCACCGAAGGGTTCAGGTTTGCGCTGGGGCTCTGAGGGGTACCAGGTTTCTGGCAAGGTTTTCTGGTTGAGTTCATTGGAAGGCTCACGTACGACAATTGTATGTCCGCCGTCACCACCCCGCAGGGTGGATGTGGCTCGAGCGCTGTCTCAACTCAAGCAACCTTGACGGACCCCTCTCCTCTCTCCCTCACTCCTTCTCTCACTCATTCCCTGTCTTCCCTCTCTCCCTGCTTCTCCCAGGTACTGCCACCTAATGGAGGATGTCACGGCGCTGCTGCTGCACAGCAAGAGGAGCCCAAGGTGGGCGTGGCACAGCTGATTCTGCTGAATAGTACTGTCCCACGCAATGGGGTGACCCTCTTTAATCCCTTCCAACCCCTTTTCATCCCTGCAGGTACCGCCATCTAATGGAAGACATCACGGCGCTGCTACCGCACAGCAAGAAGGAGCCCAAGGTGGACGTGGCTCGCGGCCGGCAGCTCAACGAGGCGCTCTCTGAGCTCATGGAATTATGAGGCTGCTCGCTTTGCCTCTTCTTTGAGGTAGGGTGCTCTGCTGTCTGCTCGCCTCCCCACTCCCCTCCACTCCTTCCCACGCCTCTCTGACCTCATGGACTTCAGGGGTTGCTCGCTCTGCCTCTTCTTTCAAGTGAGTTGCCCTCTCTTCCCACTCCACTCCACTCCACCCCACTCCACTCCTCTCACTCTCTCTCGCTGCCCTATGAGCAAGCACACGAACCCGCAGCTCTGTGTGTGCCCCAACCACCTGTGGCCCTGTCCCTGCTGCCTGTGCTCTTTCTTCCCCCCCTCCCCTTTTTATGCTCTCTCTCGTTCCCCTGACTCGCTCCAGATGCACAAACAGAGGGATCTCTATCTCTGGATCAGGAAGAAATCTATATCCTGTGCTTTATCTCACTCCATCCCCTCCCTCTTTTCTGCTCTCTCTCGTTCCCTTCCCCCCCCGCCCCTCTGTCGCTCTCACTCACTCGCTCCAGATGCGGAAGCAGAGGGATCTCTATCTCTGGCTCAGCAAGGGGCCCTCGGGACCTTCTGTGAAGTTTCTCGTCAGTGCAGGTATGGTTGTCTTGTCAGTATGGGTATGCCTCGTCTCATCATGTCTCACACACTTGTTGCACCTGTAATTGGTTGGATCAATCACATTTGGGTTGAACACACATGCTTGTAATAGCATGACTTTCAAAGAACACTCACTTTCAAGTGTTCTCAAAGGTGTTACAAGCACATGTATGCGCCCACCTCTGTTATGCCTCCATTCTCCCCCATTCCACCCCCCCCACACCCCACTTCACCCCTGCCTTTCCAGCGCACACTATGGAAGAGCTGAAGCTCACAGGAAATCACCTCAAGGGCAGCCTTCTCTGCCCTCTCATCTCTCCTCCCCTTGACTCCCCCACCCCACCGCTCCACACCTCCCGCCCATCTCACCACATCACGACCCACCGATGCACACAATGGAGGAGCTGAAGCTCACAGGCAAGGCAACCACCTCAAGGGCAGTCCTTTTCCGTCCTCTCATCTCGCCCACTTCCCCCACTGCCTTACTCCCTGCATCACACTCCCACCCACCAGTGCACACAATGGAGGAGCTCAAGCTCATAGGCAACCACCTCAAGGGCTCTCGGCCGTTCCTCACCTTCTCGCCCTCGTTCGACCGCCTGCCCTTCCTCTCTGTTCTCAAGGAGCTCTTCATCCAGGCACGCTCATATGCCCCTTTCTCATTGCAGTCACGCTCGTCTTTGTCACTTCTTTTCTTTTCTTCTTTTATTTTCTTTCCTTCTTTTCTTCGTCTTTTGCAGCAGGGTCCTTTTTCTTGCTGCCCACCCACTAACTCATTCCCAATCCCTTCCCCACATGGGCACGTGCAGACGCTCGCAACCCCCAAGGGCCACCATGAGCCTGCTTGTTCCCCTCAATCATAACAAGTTTGCTGCACACCTAATAACTCATCCCCTTCCTCTACCCTCCACACCCCCATGAGGGACGTTTGCTGCATGCAGACATTTGCGACCCCCAAGGGCCATCGCAAGTCGAAGCCCTTCTACGATCATGTGCTCACATTCACCTACCTAGACGGGCGCATCTGGTTCAGAAACTACCAAGTAAGTTCCACCAACCAGTTCCAGCATGCGCTCACATTCATTTACCTGGATAACCACATCTGGTCTAAAGGCCACTATTGGTGATTGGTTTGTGTAAACACTTACACAGACTCTAACACACCATCGCTGATCCGCCTTGTTCTGTGGGTCTCTGAAATGCTTTCCTGGGACCGGGAGGGCGCCCATGGACTTTGAGACGACTACAAAGTCACATATTGCTGATCCATTGTATACTGTGCATGTCAGATATGCGTTCCTGGAGCAGAGGGGGCATCCAGAATCGATGACATCACCATGGAGAAGATGTCACTAGTGGAGGTGGGCATAGCAAATGTGGTGCTGGTGTGCTGTGGTGGGGTGCAGTGAGGTGTCATGTGGTGCTGGTGTGCTGCGGTGGGGTGCAGTGAGGTGTCATGTGGTGCTGGTATGCTGCTGTGCGGTGCGGGGGTAGGCGCTTCAGAGTCATGCCTGTGGTAAGGAGGCATCTCCTACAATCACAAAAGTCACCAGTAGAAGCTCTGTTACTGTTGCTGATGTCGGAACAGAGTGCACTATGTTTGTTGCTAGTGAGGATTACACTGTATGTATAGTCATTGCCTCTGTTTTCTCCTTGCCCTCATTTCCCAAACCTGTCTTTTCTGCCCTGCAGGTAGGGCCTCGCTTCTGTCTAAACCCCATTCGAGTATTCTCAGGCACATTTGGAGGGCCCACCCTTTATGAGAATCCTAGCTACATCTCAACAAATAAGGTGTGTATAAATCTGGCAGCTGTTTATGCGACAGGAGCATTATCATTTGAATGTTGCTCATATTACTCTCACGTACGTTTAACGACATAAATTAATCACATATGTTCGGCTGTCTCCGCTGTTGCCCTGTCAGATTCGTATCAATGAGAAGAAGAAGCACGGAGAGGAGTATCGGGAGAAGGTGCATGAGAGGCACTATTAGAATCTGGGGGTGCTGCTGCAGGCTCAGCACCCCCAGACTCAGCACCCCCAGGCTCAGCACCCCTAGGCTCCGCACGCTCAGGCTCAGCACCCCCAGACGCAGCACCCTCAGGCACAGCACCCCGAGCAGGACCACTCCCAGCAGGACCTGAGTCACCAGTCACCTCAGCAGGCTCAGGCACAGGAGGGTCTACCTGAGAAACACCTGAAGGAGCAGGACCTGGCGCGGGGAGGGGGTCTACCTGGGGAGGACCTGGAGCGAGAAAGAGCGGAGGGGGGGGGGGGGGGGGGGGGGGGGGGCGAGCGGCAGTGCGGTAGGGAAAGAGACGGTAAAAGGGGACCGAC